GTATTTTTATTATGATTATATTTTTGCAAATTATATATATATATATATATGTGTGTGTGTGTGTGTGTGTGTGTGTGTGTGTGTGTGTGTGTGTGTGTGTGTAATTCCCTTACTTCTTAAAGTCATAATCTATTCTTGTTCTGAATTGCTTAGAGGGTCCATAACAGTCTCCTTCTTCAGAACTACTAAATCTTATCTTTGTGTAGGAAAGAGAAATGCCAACTGTAGAAGTCATTGAATTAGGGTTCAGAAAGCTGAATACTTATATCCCTGGCCAGGCTACTCCTCAAAGGAAGACTACAATAAAAGACATCATCTCTTGACAAGATCCAAACCAATCCTCAGGCAGAACTTGGACTGTGTCAAAATGAATTCTTTATGAATAGAATGAAGGTGGGAATGGAAAAAGTTCTTTTTAAAAAGGATTCATTTATTTTTATTTTATGTGTATAAATACTTGGCCTGTGTGTATATATGTGTGCCACATGCATGCCTACTATTCTCAGAGGCCAGAAAAGGGTGCCAGATCCCTGGAACTGGAGTTACAGATGGTTGTAAGCCACCATATGAGTGCTGTGAACTGAACCAAGTCTTCCTCAGGAGCAGCAGATACATTCAACTAACTCTCCTGCCCCTCCTTAGTGCCTCTCAATCTGTCTCTTATGTAATTCTTTTCTTAATTATCAAGTGCTATCTGAGTCCTACTTCTGGCACTGGGTTGAACATGAATTTCTGAACTGCCAGGACTATTACCAGATTACTATCTAGCAGGGACTTTCTGGTAAAGAACAAAGACTTCAGTTTTTATGCCTTCCAGAGCCAATGCAATGGGCCTGTTAATCACCTGGGCAGGTAAATGTTCTTCAGGAAAACTATGAGGCTTTAGAATAGTACACAGCCTACCCAAGGATGAAGAGCGGGATAGTCTCACTGTGTCATTTAAGAGAAAGAAAGACAAAAACTGGACAGGGAGTTAGTGTAAGTGGAGTTTTTCTGTGTCTGCAGCCACTTCCCAAATAATCACTCAGAGTCTTAGTATTAATTTTAAATGCCCGGCCAATAGCTCAGGCTTGTTACTAGCTAATTTTGACATTTAAATTAACCCACATTTCTTATCTATGCTTTGCCGTAAATTATGGCTCAGTGCCTTTTCTCAGTTTGGCATGCCCATCTTGTTTCTCCCTGCATCTGCTGGTGACTCCTCTGACTCCACCCTCCTTCTTCCCAGACTTTGTTTGTCCCACTTATACTTCCTGCCAGGCTACTGGCCAATCAGCTTTTTATTAACATTTTCACAGTTTGCAAAGATTGTTCCACAGCAAGAAAGAGATGGAGATGGGGTCCAGGAAGAAGTAGGGGAAGAAGAGAGGTGTGAATATAACCAAAATACATTTCCTCAAAGAATAAATAAAAATATATTTTAAAAATCTGCAAGTACCTGTAAAGTAATTTAGACCCAATTTATCTTCTTTGTAGAACCAAAATAAACCCAATCTATCTAAATTATACTAAAATTATATCACCATGGTTCCAAATTCATGTTCATAATTATATGTGTATAAGATGTATCCAGAGAGATGAGACAGAAAGTAGTGCATATGCCCATTGAAGGGTTACATAAAATCATAAACATGTAGCTTTTAAAAGAATAAAATTATGAGAAAATTTTATTTTTTCTAGTAATATGTTTTCTTCATTTTCAAAACACAAATGAGATTTCAGTTTAGCAATATTTTATCTTTTCTGTTTATTTATTTATTTATTTGAGAGTGTTTCGGTATTTTGTCTTTTAATCTAATCAGTGTGTACTGATGTCAGAACTTTTAGCTTGCAAATATCAGAAAACACTGGATAACAACTGGATTAGTTACTGTTCTTATTGCTGTGATAAGTACCCTAGACAAGCAACTTCACCAAGGAGGATTATTCTGGCTCACAGTTTGAAAGGGCAGAGGCAAGAAGGCCTGACAAGGGGACAGTAAGGTGGCGGGTCACATGGCACAGTCAGGAAGCATAAAGGGAAGAAAGCTGGAGCTCAGCTCCCTTTGTCCTTTCCATTCAGTGCAAAACCTCAATGAATGCAATAGGGCTGCCCACATATTTGGTTCTTCTTTCCTTTGTGGAACAAACCTCTGTGGAACAAACTCAGGATGTGCCCAGAAATTCGTCTCCTAGATCTAAATCCCACCAAGATGACAGTTCATTACCATTGTGATAAATATAAAAACCAAATGCTTTTTGAAGGATTACTTAAATTCAAGTCTGAAAACACCTGTGACCTCCATTACTTGCTGTGGGATTACCTGTGATTAGCTTTAAATGATACAAAGGTAACACTCATTCCTTAGAAATCACACCTCAAATTTTGCATTTTGACTCTTTCCTTGACCCAAATCACATGAGAGTAATATTGGAGATTCACTCAGTCCTTGAGTGAAGTGGCCTAAAGTTAGGAACCCCTGAGCACTTCCACAAAGAATGAAGCAGAAAACAAGGAACAGAAGAGATTACAATATGGTGGGTGTAGGAAGAAATCCTTAAAAGGTCAAGATGGATACAGCAGAGAGTACAAGTAGCAGGGTACCTGGGTCCTTGTCTTCTGGAGATTTTACAGAGGTGAGAATGGAAACTCTTCTGCCTAGGATCATGTGAATCATGCGTGTGAAAACTGTCCTCCACTTCTGTGGGCCAACGGAGAAACAAACAATTAACCACTTTCCGTTATCTTGGTTTGACGCAGAAGTCAGTTAAAGGCTACTCTGTAAGGCCAACCACATTTGCTACCTCCAGTACTCCTGTAGCTTTTGCTCCCTGGGGGCCTGGAAGGCACAGTTAGTCTAAGTACTGCTATTAGTTTAAAAGTCAGCTCTGTGGGCAGTTCAGGGCCCTAAGCTACTGCTCTGGTTCTTTTGGAGCTAAACTGAATATTGCTCAACTGTTAAAAGCTGAAAGTTTTTAGCTGCCTTTTTGAGAACTGATTGGACTGAATGTCCTTCTCTTGTAGCTACTATTTGCCTTAGCTCTGATAATCACACCAATCACATTAATTTAGCTGTATGCAGCTGTCATTCTTCCATTCTGATTACTTATTCTATCGTGAATAGCTCTGCCTTCCTTATTTACTCATTCATGTCTCTTTTATCTATTCATCGGTGTTCATCTGGCAGATGGCCTTAACAACCTTATCATTATTTCATTCTATTTCATTTACATTTTTATTTTAATATGGACAAGGCTAGTTGGATATAAGATAGTCAAACACATACATCTTTAAAAGAAAAATTAAAGTTGACATATAAAAGATTTTAATAATAAATGCATTCTAAGAAGCACTAAAACGCACAGATATTCTGGGTATATGTGTGTGTGCATGTGTATGTGCATGTGGTGTGCATGTGCGTGTGTGTGTGCGTGTGTGTGTGTGTGTGAGTGTGTGTGTGTGTGTTTTAAGGACAGGAAATAGTTTTAGTTAATGTGGCTTTATAATTGATATATACTCTGACAATAGTAATGTATGTTTTTACTCACAGTAAATATTATTAGAAAATGTTTACCTCCATAATTTCCTAGATGTTTTAAAATACTTTGTTTATTGTAATTTAATAAAGCTGGTAGTTTATTGTCAAAATCCAAAGAACTAAAATAGAATTTCTCTTCTTTGGCTATTTGCCATATATTTTAAGGTATTCATATATAATCCATATGCATATAATATATACATATAATTTATCATACACAAGGTACACATTCTATGTATCTGTTAATTTGATAATACTAAAAATCATAAATGTAAGGCTAGCTAACTTTAAAAAACACAGAAGCAATGTATTACTACAATTGAATTACATGCTAAATTTAAAATCAATTTTCTACTTGCTATTAAAAAAAGAGAAATTATCATGTCCATAATATTAAAATATGTCTTTTAAAAAAATGAGAAGTTGAGAGAAAATAAAATATATTTTTAATGGAAAATAAAAGTGGCTGGAGAGGTGCCTCAGCAGGTAAGAGTGCATGCTGCTCTTGCAGAAGACCCAAGTTTGGTTCCCAGTCATCAAGTCAGATGGTTCAAAATGCCCATAACTCTAGTTCAGAGCATCCAATGTCCTCTTCTGGCCTACTCGGGAAACTGCATACATGTGGCATACATTCTCACAGACATACACAAATACATAAAAATAATTCTAATAAAAATAACTGTTAAATATGCATCTGTTAAATGACACATATTGGTAGTTACAGACTGAGCTGGGTATCACTCCACAGAGTAATCAATACCTGTGAGTTCAAAGCATGGCTCGTAAAGGTGTCTAAAGACCTGTGCCTATTTTTAAGAGAAACTCTATCTGCCTAGAGAATTCTACAGTGCTTCCTTATTGTTATTACTTCTATTAGAGATTGACTGCCTGAAAAGAATCAATTAGTTCTTATACAGGGGGAGGGGAAAAACAAACAAACAAAAAATAGGCGAAGCCAAAGATAAGTCTACCTTAGAAGAAACTAGAAATCTCTAAAACATTTCTTCTAGTTAATTCTGAGTAGTGTTAGTATTCAATACTAGCTCAGTACTGTCTGCACTGGTATGTATTATAATTAATTAGATAATCTGGGCATGCTCAGGATGGTGGGAAGTACTGGCTAGAGCTTATACACTCTTCGGTGTTTATGCTTTTACTATAATGAAAAATTGTTGCAGTTTTTTTTAGATTCTGTAACAATATATAAATCACTTCAGCAGAGAACATATTTGTAACTCTATCTTTAGTGTTGATCATTTGTAAAATTTAGTTGTTAACTATTTCCCATGCTCATCAAATTCTAAGATTATACCTTTCTCAAACACTCTAAATTCAAGTTTTCAGGAAATAAATGTTTCCTGACATTTACAGGTTTAGGGTTTTTTTTTTCCCTCTAAACTGACACAGAAATTGATGGGAATGTGATCCTGACTTCAGTGAGACTTTTTGACACAAGAATGCGGAGTAACATCGTAGACTGTCCTCCGCTATCAGTCCCAGAGACAGTGATACCTATCAACAGGCCCCTCCCAATGTCACTGTGGAGGTAAAAAGCTAATAAAGGCAGCTCATCATAGGTTTCAGCTAGCAGCCAGACCAACCCTGCACTCCAGCTGGTGAAAGCCAAAAAGAATACACCCAGGTAAGATCAGAGACTGTGAGTGTGGGGCTGGGACTGTGTTCTCATGCTGTCTGGGACAGAGGGATAAAGCAGATTGCCAAAGGAAACTGGGTACAAAGATCAGAGGGCTTTGAATTGTTGCAGGAGAGAACGGAACTGAGCCTGTGCATTCAAATCCCGTGTTAACTTCATCCCAGAGGTGAAGGCAAGACTGGACCGAAATGAAAATGTATTTAAAAATTATTCACTGTGTAATGTGCAGATGATTTTTAATTTATCGGATATTTTAGAAAACAGTACCCCTGTAGACATTCTAAATATGTATTATACCTAGATGATCAGCAGTGAGTTATTCAAAAGGTTATTTCCATATCCTGAAATTCATTGTAAAAGGAAAAGTTTGAATAGCTTGTTGATCCCATTACATATTTGTAGGTTGTCTGCTAGCAAACTAATAGAAAACAATAAGTAGAAAAATAGATGACCTTAAATAAGATAATCTTATAATTTAGCATAAAAAGCGATACATTTTACTACTTTTGATAATCATTTAAATGAATTTACTTCAAATTCCCCTCCCCCTGAAATAATCACTTGGTTAGTAATATATTTTAAGAATTCAAGAGTCACATGCTTTTTCATGAACAGTTTGCTAACTCTGTCCTCAAGAATCACTTTGTCCATTTAAATCACTAAATATCCCACATTTCCTCAGTGATTTATTTTGAATTAGTTATGTAGAAATACACCCAAATATTTTGAGACCGTATGGAAAGTTTCATTAAATACAGCAAAATAACATTGTATCTGTTCAAGCAAAAAGCTGTGGGAATAAAGAACATAGATAAAATCAATACTTCCAGAAAATGTACATTTTACAAACCAACATTTTGTGCTATTTTCTTCTTCTTTTATCTTGTTTTATGAATTTGTTTTCCCATTTTTAAATAGATGGTTTTCATTTCATACTCTTTCCTCAAATAAGAATATTTCTCCATTACAAACAGTATCCTAAATGTGACTTTTATGATGTACACTAAAATATGAATGCAATGATATGTAAGCACTTCTTATGGGATTCAAGAATTTTCTGTTGCTTTTCTTTCCCCCAGTTCCAGGGATCAAACCCAGCTTTCAAAATACTAGGCAAGTTCTTACCACCAAGCTTAATCCCCAGAACCTACTATTCTTAACCTGTAATCTCCTTAAGGCAAAATCTATGTCTTAATTGAACTTATTTCTTTAGAAGATACGGTTTTAAAGAAATTATAGCTCAATAGACCAGCACATCCCTGTTTCTCTTTATCCATTTTATTTTCTAGAAGCATTGTTGTTCTGCTGCTAGAGCTCTGGGGTTTCAGGTATGTACTAGCTCTGATAACCTGGTTGTAGCGTCATCTGTCATTATTGCTATTGTTTTTCTAATACCTGCTCCTATCTGGGAAGAAAGGGTATATTTGTTTATCTTATTAGTACTAATTAACTCAGAAGAAATGTTTTTCTATTGATTCAGATTCTTTTCTTGTTTCCTGGGAAAGGAAGCTTATATTATACACTTTTAGACATGTTACTTAGATGAGTTAAGTATAGAAGAAGAAGAAGATTTTTGGATTTATGTATATCCATACAAGCTATGGAATGTCAATAATTGGCTATCTGATCTAGGCAATATCATTTGGACTCCTTGAGGTTCAGTTTCCCCACCTATGAAACAAAGCAAGAGCTGTTATCACTGTGTTTGTTGTTAGAACGATAGTTGGAGTTGTTCTCTTGGCTACTTTGCCATAGAGGGCATGATTTCCTTATTTTTCTCATACTGTAAGGAAAGTACCATGAAGTTCTGTTACTACAAAATTTACAAGATAGAAAAATAGAAGACGGTTTAATATAATGCAATAATAGAGTTTACATAAGAGTGTGCCTTTGCTAAAATTGACTCTACAAAGCCTACTATTGTTGCCATCAGGGTTAATTCAGGCATTCAGTGATCAGAAATAATTTTTCAACAAAATACATAAATCCCAGTGTCTGGAGATGATGTACATCAACTCCTAATTTTTAGCAACTATTAGAGTTAAATTGTCAGAAAGCTTAAAATAGCATATCTGATAACTGTCATAGACCATTACTTAATTATGTTTAATTTCTGGTCTAAGGTGTCACAGAGAAAATTTTTTAAAAGTCATTTATATTCATGGGGAAATTCACTTTTTTCCGATCATTCTTCTTGTTCATCAGCTCACTATTACTACATGATTTAGCAGTAATATTATTAATTAGATTAATTATGACTTGTGAAACACTGGTAAGCATGTTTTCTGTGCTCTTGCTTGCAGCCATCAGAAATGAGTGAGGAAAGAACGGCATATGCAGAGCTGACATTATCCCTTAAAAGTAAGAAGGACAAAAACCAGCCAATTAAGGAAAAGAGAGGTAACATTTTTCTGCCTTTGTATATGTGTGTATGTGTATGGTATTGAAAACACAATATGAAAAACATGAGCTCATACTAATTATTTTCACATATATTTGATGTTATATATGTATATGTGTTATGCTATATGTTATTTAAAATATATGTTCTATGCCTGGCTCTTTCTATTATTTAAAAAGATATTTATGAGTAAATAGTCAGTGAGTGGACTGATATTAATTTTTTAACCTCAGGTATAAACATCCATTCTGCTTTAATTGCGAGGTCATACTATGTTTGTTATATATCTTGCCTTTTGATCTTATGTAGATTGTCCATGGATCATGACTGTTATTATCCTGGGAACAGTATGTCTTTGTTTTCTGATGTCAAATGTAGTCTTGGGATATCTGTGTGAGTATGATATATACTATTTTATGGTTAGAATGAGATAAGAAACAATGTTACAGTTGCTGAACCTTTGTAAGTTTTGACATTCTATAGACATCCTAGTGATTATGGGTATTAGTGATAACGGTGATGATGATAAGGACTTTATTAGTATCTTATATTTCTGCTTTTATGACACATAAAACAGTATACTGCTATAATTATACAGAAATACCATGAATAAGTATAATGCAGATTAATACATTCAATAACTTTTGTAAGAGCTAGTTTGCTTACAATCATTGAGTTGAGAGTGCTTGTATTTCCTTACTAAACTCTTTTTTTAACAAAAATAATTGTTATTACATCATGTAATAAACACAAGATGTATATAGTCCAATTCTTCCAGATGTATTGATCAACTTACAAAAAGCACGAAGGTGAAATTTGTATGTAGTCTCAGTATTAAAATTTCAGTGGGCTTCTTAGATTGGGTAGATTGCTCTTTCTTCTGTTCATAGTTTGAACATTTTTTAGATTGACTTCCAAATACTCAAGAGTCATTCAAGGGTCTGGAAAGATGGTTTAGTGGTTGAGAACACTTGTTCTTGAAGTTCTTGCAGTAGTAAAGACACAGTTCTTGCAGGACCTGGGTTCAGTTCACAGAATCCACATGGTGGTTCACAGCCATCCATAACTCTAGTTTCAGGGGGTGGGGTCAACATGCTCTTCTGGTCTCTAAGGTCACTGAATGCACATGGTGCAACACATAAATTCAGGCAAAACACTCACACACATAAAATAAAAATTTTAAAGTTATACAAATGTTTAACAAAAATCTCCGTTAAGCAGGATATACAATGGGCAAGCTGGTTAATAAATGTGCTATGCATGTGTACTTCAAGTTCATTTTGTTGTTTATTCAGTTAATTTGGTTGTTGTTTAAGACAGGATCCTATTCTGTAAGCCTAGCAAGGCTGGAATTCACTGAGATCCACCTGCCTCTGCCCTCCTACCCACAGTGCTAGGATTAAAGGCTTGGCTGTCACACCTGGCTGAAGATGTTTTTTAACTCTGCATCTTCTTGCCTTCACCTCCCAGTGCTGAAATTACAGAGCTTCAGTGATATACATGGCTCTAACAGATTTTTAAAATTGCACTCCACGATTTCTTCCAGTATCTTTTTCCTATTTGTTTAAAAACATTCTAGTTTAAATTAAATTATTTGGTTCATTGATTCAATAAACAACTTTGGTTATGTCCCATGGGTCAAAAACTATGCATAGCATCAAGATCACAGAAATTTAAAGGAAAAAAAGCTTTGAATGAGTTTACTTGAATATATACATACATATATATATATATATATATGTATATATATATATATATGAAGTAGTTTTAAATATAAAATTAGTGTAATGATAAGGACATGAGGCAATGTTATATGGGTGACACATAACATCCTGAGGTCAAGAAGCCTTTCTTGTTGAGACAGTAGTTGAGGTTAAATAAGAGACCAGTAAGAATTAGGACATTGATAAATAAAATTCATCTAAGTTGAGTGGGCAGCATGAAAAAGGAACAGGTTTAGAGACTCACAGATAGTTCCTGGGTAGTGAAAGAATAAGCTAGATATAAGTTTGGACAGACAACACTGATTTATATAGATTGTTCACACCATGCCAAGCAATTTGAGAGTTCATGTGAAAGCAAAATGAGATAAAAATAACCATCTGGTGATTGTAAGTGAAGAGCAACATAACTCAAGTTACATGGACAGATAAAGCCTTTAGAAGGGGCAGGCTCAGCCAACTGGAAATGAGTGGGCATGTGAAGGAGACTGTTTCAGGGGACAGATTCTGACCATGATTGTCTATTTTAGCACCATGATAGAAGTCATGAAGTCATACAGGGAAACAGAGGAGGATTGAATGAGTTACAGAACAGCTAGAGCATATATTCAAATGAGTAGGGGAGGGACAAGAAGGCATCAGTGATTCCATTTCATGTCAGGCTCATATATCTTTGTAGGCAAAATTGTATTAAATGTTAGAGAAAACATGAGACTACCAAGCTATAGTGTGTGTGTGTGTGTGTGTGTGTGTGTGTGTGTGTGTGTGTGTGTGTGTGTGTGTGAAAGAGAGAGGGAGAGGGAGAGAGAGAGAGAGAGAGAGAGAGAGAGAGAGAGAGAGAGAGAGAGAGAGAGAGAGAGAGAAATGGTAAAGATTCAGGTTCATAGGGCACATCAGTGGACATACCCATAAAGTTTAAGTTGAGTTATTTCTTTATAGTTAGCTGTTGGCAAAAAGTTCAGAGTATCAGCACATAGATGAAATCAAGACAAATATCTATATTAGAGATATGAAATGTGTTAAATTGCATTCAATTAATACAGCAAATTATTTGAGAACATGGCAAAAGGAGATGGAAGGCAGACCATGTAGAAATCTTTCAAAACCAGGGGGTAGTGTTGCCATTTTAGAAGACAAGAGGTCAGGATGATGATCCTTAGGATAATTTAACATCAAAAATAGGTGAATATGATTGAGGGTGAAAAAATGAAAATCTGATTAGTAGATAGGAGGAAACACAGCCATCTAGCATCAGGATGTGTGCCAAGGATAGCCAATGCTGAAGTGACATGACAGTCTAAGCAGACAGAACTTTGATCAAGAGGAAGACTACTAAAGCTTCTTGCTGGTGTAGATTTAGTAGAACAATGATTTGACCCAAACCAGGTTGCAATGGCTGAAATTAGTTAGGATTAGAAATAATTGAGCATGGAAAATTGTACTTTTAAACTTTGGTTAAGCAAGTGTTGAAAGTATATAGATTTACGTGATCTCTTAGATGGATTCACAAAATGGAATTTTTACAGTAGTCAAAAATGAACACGATATGTAACAATGTGGTTGAATATTAGCATGTAAAAGCAAGTTGAAAAAGTGGCCATTTTTGCATGTCACGATGCAATTTTATAAAATTATAGCCTTAAAGCAACAAAGAAATAACAATGTTTTTTTTTTTTTTGGTTTTTTGAGACAGGGTTTCTCTGTGTAGCTTTGCACCTCTCCTGGAACTCATTTGGTAGCCCAGGCTGGCCTTGAACTCACAGAGATCCGCCTGGCTCTGCCTCCCGAGTGCTGGGATTAAAGGCGTGCACCACCACCGCCTGGCTAGAAATAACAATCTTAAGGAAGAAGAGACTCTAAAAGGAGCTGTAAACTAAATCAAGGGAATAATATGTAAATCAATACATGTAGTGATTAAGGTTCTAGTGACAGTTTGGACAAACACTAAATGGAATAACTAAATAAACAAGGAAAAGTTCATGGAACAATGATGAGAATACCCTATATACAAAGAATTACAAACAATGAATTTTTCTAAATAACCATGAAAAGAATTATAAATGAGAAAACACAGTTGCTTGCTTCGTGCTCTTATATTGTTAGTTCTTGACTTATTGGAAGACATCTTGATTCCTTATTTAAAAAACATTACTTTTTTAAAGGTGTGTGTGTGTGTGTGTGTGTGTGTGTGTGTGTGTGTGTGTGTGTTGGGGGCGCAAATGCATACAAGTGCAGAGGCGGGGGAAGCCAGGAGAGGGCCTCAGCTCTGCCACAACTAGAACTTCAGTGAGTTGTGAGCTATCTGATGTGAGTGCCAGGAACCAAAATTGGGTCCTCTGCAAGAGTAGAACATGCTCTTAACTCCTGAGCTATCTCATCATCCCCAAGATTATGAATTTCCTTACAGAGATTTTTTTGTTTTCTTTTTGCATATTAAAAATGTCTGTTTGATTTTCTCCATTCAGATTCAGTAAGTCCATTATAAATTGAAATATAAAGCCAGATACTTTAAACTACACATGCAAACATTAAATGGAATAAAATTTCAAAGCATTCTTTGAAGATACAGGGCATGAAATTAGTTTATACATTTTTTTCTTTTCAGTTGACCTTGACCTTTTGTTTTATAAGTTTGTTATAAATGCTTTAAAAGAAGTGTGTTGCAAGTTATAAATATTTGTATTTTTAAAATATATTTTATGTTCTAGCACTTCAAAATATTTTATATTTTTCTTACTGTTCTTTAATTAACACCATCTACTGTTTACAATTACAATTAATTGATTATAATGTTGTCAGTCATTACCACTTGTTGTTCTAATCTCATAGTATGGACTTAGTTTTTCAGTGCACTTCTAACTTCAAAATTCAGCATGGGAAGGATGCAAATGAAAGTACTATTTCCTCAATGGAAGTAGCAGGTCCTTCAGTTTTACCACCAACTAAAGGTATGCATCACATCCTAAACTGAAAACTGACATAATTTTAACGGCATTTACACTTCTGTCCCACTTCAGATTGTGAGCTTAAAACTTTACATCGAAGTCTGGCAGGATGTGAACTTTGTTCACCTCTCCTTACTGAATCTATCTTTTTTGTTATAATTAGTTAAACTTTTTACTTTCACTGAAGAAGTTGCTGTTGGTTGTCATCTTGATTTTATTGTGCATTTTATACTATTCTATATGGTGGGTGTATACTGTGGGTGTATTTACCACATATAGAGCCTGTTAGATCAATGTCCCTCCCATTACTCATTTTGATGGATCTCTTGCAGATAGAAATGTTTGATGCTGATGTCTTTCTCCTTCAGAAGTCAAGATTTGTCAGTGCAGCCATAACAAAGATCTCAAATCTGTGAGAGACAGTGTCTGTATTCACAACATTCTTTCCTATAAAATTTGGCAGAAGAGCTATTTTTAGTGAAAGCAACTACTCTTTGATGTTAAATATGGAGCAAACAATGAAACACCAAAAAAACATGTCTTGATATGAGTCTCAGAATAATGGTTGCTTTTATTTTCATAAAAAGGCTATTACCCGTGTCAAGGAAGATGGTCATGTTGTGGAGAAAATTGTTACTACTTTTCAGAGGAAGAAAAGACATGGGATGAGAGTGAGACATCCTGCAGACACCTGGGTTCTCACCTGGCTAAGATTGACAACAAAGAGGAGCAGGTGTGTATAGTTATCACCTGAGTGTTTCTTGAGAAGTCTGGATGTCTGGTGAAGTTGTGATAATCATTTGTGTTCCTCCTACTGTTCTTTGCCTGCTGAACAGAAGGACATATGTACATTAGCACATATTTACCTGCAGATAAAAGGGCAGAGACATAAAAAGTACCTAGATGAACATTTTTATTTTATTTAATGAAAAATAGTTCTGGTGTGAGCACCATGGGATAATTCTCAGCCATGTAATCTGCATTGCACCTTCAGAGTTTAGCTAGAGCAGACCATTTATTGTTAATGAAAAGCTAATGGGAAAAGCTACCTTTGATTATATGAATGGTCCAAAAGAAGTAATTAATTTTTAGTTCTGTTCTTCCCTCATCAGTATCTGGAAAAAAAAAATCTGTTCTAGAATGGAACATGAGTCTCTGTCATTGGATGTGAGAGAAACACAATTTAATATAAAGACAAAATAAATAAAAGGAAGAGGTAGAATAATTCCTCAGAAATAATTTTTATTTTACTCATAGCTCAGTATGACAATGTGGTGATATTTTATTTGTATGTTAATAAATAAAGTTGCCTGGAGATCAGAGGTCAAATAGTCATAAAACAGAAGTCAGACAGTGGTAGCCCACACCCTTAATCTGATCACATGGCAGGCAGAGTCTCTGTGTGGTGAAGGACACAGCCAAGTGTGGTGACATGAGCCTTTAATTCCAGTACCAACCATAGAGACCTGGGGTCTGTATAGACAGGAGGTGATGAGGAAGTCATGTGGCTGGGCTTAGAACCAATGGGAAGGCAGAACAGGAAGACAATAAAAACAGAGGTTAGACAGGAAGAAGCTCTCTGTGGAAGCTACTGCTAGTGGTAAGCTAAAGCTAGTTGTGTTGTGGCTATTGCTCTGATCTCTTTGGCTATTACCTCTGTATTTGACTCTGTGTTTCTTATTTAATAAGACTGTTAAGAAATTTGTCTACATGACAAGAGTTGCTCTGTTGTTTGTATATGACACTTGCTATTATTTCCAAAGTTTAAGAAAGAGATCACTCTAGCATATTCTGTAGATTTATTTACAACAATTCTAGTTAGGCACTAGAGTCCATTTTAATAATTACTTTTATAAATGCTGCTTGTAATATTATCTTATACAGAGTGCATAAAATATCATTATGCTTACTAATATAATTATTTTATTAAAATAGATATTAAAAAAATAGAAGGTATAGACAAAGAAATACGAAGACCAATATACAATTTATAAACACCTTTGGCATTTTGAACCTCTATTGTTACAAATTAGTTTTTTAGAAACTGGAATATTATTTTACTCTGAAGACATTTACATAATTTATATTTAATTCTTTAATTTTCAATAAATGTATTCCAGATATTTATTTTCTGTGTGTGTGTGTGTGTGTGTGTGTGTGTGTGTGTGTGTGTGTGTGTGTATGCATGTTATGTGTGTGTTAGTACTTATGGAGACCAAAAGAGATGTCAGATCTCCTGTCACTGGACTTAGAGGTGGTTGTCTGACACAAAATGCATATGCTTGAAATCAAACTTGGTTCCTTTGCAAAAGCAGCAATACTCATAACCACTGAGCCATCTCTCTAGCCCCTGTATTATTCTTATTTTTCTTTCTTATTGTGGAGTTGGGAGGGAAACTTGTGAACTAGACATTGCCTGAAGAGCCTGTGGTGTGGTTTGCTTGGGACCTTGTGAAGGCAAGCAAGATTTTGGACAGCCTAGGAAGGAGAAAACAGGATCTCTATCTAACAGAAGCAACAGCATGGGGTCTTGTTGAATGTGAAGAGAAAAGAGATGGCCACATCTGGAGGGACAGTAATTGTTATCCTTCTGAAAAGAGAGGGAAGGGACATTGGGCAGTGTAGGGGAGAAGAAAGAGGTACTACCTAATGGTTATATAGTAGTAGGGTCCTGGAAAGAAAGACAGAATATTGATTGGCCAAAGGAGGAGGAAGGAGTGTGTCCTACCCAGTGGCAGCATTTTCATAGAAGTCCCCAAGAATAGAGATGGAGTGCTGACAGCCTAGAGAGGAGAGCGATGGTCCTACCCAGCAGGGCAGTTGGTGTGGGTTCTATGTTTATTTTTTTATTCCTAGAAAACGTACATAAATGAATGAAATTATGGGCATGTAACTTATGTGGTTTCAGAGATATAAAATGTATACTTTAATATGTTTTTATAATGTCCATGCATTTTTTATGTATTGCAATTTTTCTCTTGTAACTATTAATTAATTAAACTGCAAGATAACAGAGACTGTGGACTCTGTGGGGGGGCACAGGGAAGAGAGGAGGATAAATAAAATTGTATTGCTTTTAGCAACAAAATTCGCTGCCACACGTTGGCATGTATAAGAAAAAAATTGAGGTGAACAATGTATACCACTTGGAAAGAAGATTACACAAAACTAAGATATTTAAACATTATTTCAGTATGTAAAATTTTCGGAGAGAGTCTATGATCTACATTTACACATAAGGAAAAATGCAAGTTAATTAATTTGCTTATTATAAATACAACATAGTTTAAAATTTCCTATAGTTTCTTAAGTTTCACATGATATAAGACATCATGATATGGATGCAGTTTTTTTTGTTCTTTATGTAGTTGCAGTAATTTGCTTTTCTATCAACACCCTCAAATTTGTCTTCTATGCACTACTGTTCAATATGTCTTCTCTTTGTCTCCCATAACTTTAGGAGTTGCATAATAGGGTATGTAAAAATTTTAAGAATTCCCTAGCACTCCTCAATATGATATCAATAACAATAGTAAGTATGTTTTCTGATCTCATTATCCACAGAACTTCTCTTGTCATTATTCCCATCTCACCTGAGGTGATTAATTGGAAAAATACATTGTTACAGCTTTAGCATGAATGCTTTGATTGCCATTAACATAAAACATATATTCTTGTTTTTCCCCCATTTTTCCTATTTGATGAATTTCTTCATTGGCTTACAAGATGTCTTTGTCTTTTAAATAACTACAAGCATCTCCAAATCCAAGACTTATTTTAACATGTTTTATGAAGTGCCTTTTGATACTGAGAAATTCTAAACTTAGTGTAGCTAGACTTTGAACCTTATGTATAATATCTTATATGATATTATCGATATTATGAGAAATACTAAAATTCTAATTTTTCCACAGAACTTTATTCAGTCACAATTGACATACAGCTACTGGATTGGATTACATAAAGTTGGAAGTCAATTTCAGTGGGTGCACCAGAAGGACACAAAACTTTCGTCAGATTTGTAAGTTTTTGTTTTATACACTTCTTTAACAACTAATTCACTGCTAGAGGGAAGATCCTTATGATCTAGATCATGCCAGTAGTTCACTACCATAGCCTTTCACACATGGAACCTCATGCAAAACTAAAGACCTAATTAATCAGAGCAAAGAAGCATTTCTTTCCATGTTTCTTACTGTTTTCTACTTGTTATTTTATTACTTTTTAAATGAATATGCGTGTTTCACGTATGTCTGTGCACCATATGCATGCCTGATGTACTCAAGAGTCCAGCAGAAGACATTGGATTCCCTGGAACAGGAGTTACAGATTACTGTAAGCAGCCATGTGGGTGCTGGGAATTGAAATAGTTCTCTGGAAGAGCAGTAAGCACTTAACTGCTGGACTATCTCTCTAACTCTTTCATTAAAAAAAAGAAAAAAAAAAAAGGATTCTAAATCCCCATACTAGGCTTTATCATTTAGTAGCTTTATCTCAGAAAATTGTGGTGCCCACTGAAATAATCACGTGTGTGTGTGTGTGTGTGTGTGTGTGTGTGTGTGTGTGTGTGTGTGTTTTAGACTGTGATAATAAAGGTTATGTTTAATGAGTGATTTGTCTTAAATAAACATTTTTTTTTGACACAGGGAGTTTTACACAACACATTCAACATCTGCAGAATGTGGATACCTCAAGCCAAAGTACCTCAGCAATGCTTTGTGTAGTAGACATTTCCATTACATTTGTGAAAAGAACTTTACCTGCTCTGTTACTTCAAAGAATTGGTAAAAAAATCACAGTTTTTCTATTTTTATTCCTTAATAGCTATTAGTAAAATAAAATTCAACAGCTTAGAATATTGACCCAAATTAGAAAACTCTACATGATTTAGGAAAGCTTATTCTCTTGAAGCAAGCATAAAGCAGAGATTTTTAGGCAGTAAATGCAATAAACTCAAGGAGTACATATATATTTTGAAATGACAAGAATCAGCAAATGGAAAAACATGAAACGCTTATTTTGTTTAAGTGAAATACCTTGTATTAATTTTCCTAATTAGGAAGACAAATTCAGTCCAGTGTGTGAGTGGTACATTTGAATTGTTTAAAATACAAAGGAAAGCAAAATTGAACTGTCAAACCACTTATTCTTTCCTTTCTTGTTTTCCAATAACCACTTGTCAGACTCAAACAACTGGATTTTAGATATCATTCCAAGGATATCACATGAAAACACCTTTTACTTATGAAGCAAATGTTACAAATGCATAAAGTGTAATCTGATTTTTTTTCACTTTTTGGGAGGTTGATTTTTATGATGCCTCACTGTGTAGTTGTTGTTAGCCTAGAACTTATGTAGGACAGGCTAACTTGAAATTGGTGGTGGTCCCCTCACCCTGGACCTCCTGAATGCTTAGATTGCACGTGTGCACCAAGCCCAGTTGTGCTTTTCAATATTTAGACATCACAGACTGCTTCTTGTCAGAACATAAAAAGAGAGGTTTACTTTTTGGAAGCATCTGTAAGCATTGTGCTAGTAAGAGATGTGCCAAAATGTACTTAGCAATGGATGTTTAGACTTATTCTAGAATTTACAATTACATAAGACCTGGAGTGAGTGGGACTTTATGTAATTTTGTGTAGCACGGGGAATGTCTCCATGATAAATCTCTGCTACTGTAATTCCTGTGTCAAATTTTTATATTTTAGCAGATATTTAATAAGTATTATTCACATTGGTTGTGCCTTTACCATCCTCCAAACAGTAAATTTCACCAATACTTGATTCTTCACAAGACTCAACTTCAAATTTTAGGCTAAGGACTCAAACATCCTTCCTCCCACTTTAATTATAGTTGCCTTTGACAATATTGACCTTTAATATCCGGGAAGAGATTCCAAGAGCCATAGGAGCAAAAAGAGGAGATAGGAGAAAGAGACAAGAGGCAAACTCGACAGAGGGCTGTGGCATTTGCCTCCTCCTGGGCCTTCTCAGGGAACACTAGAGCTCCATCTGGTGACCACCAGTTCAGTCTAAGGGAGCTAACCCAGGCTTAGGTTCAGAATCCTTTTGCCAGGTTGAGCTCTGGGAATCCAGTGGATGGGAGGGAGGAGGGATTCCGAGGGCCAGGGGACATCGAGATCATGATGGGAAGACATGCAGAGATGACCGACCACACTGCTAGAGACCCATGAACTGTGGACTGGTGGCTGTGGAGCCCCCATGGGACTAGACTAGGCCCTCTGGATAAGGGAGATAGTTGTTTAGCTCGAACTGTTTGGGGGACACCCGAGTGGGGAACCGGGATCCATCCCTGGTGCATGGGCAGGCTTTTTGGAGCCCTGTACCTGTGGTGTGGCACCTTGCTCAGCCTTGGCCGGGCAGGCAGGGGCTTGGACCTGCCTAGCCTTGGTGTGCTGGACTCTGCTGACTCCCCATGGGAGACCGTGGTTTGGAGGATATAGGGATGGGGGGTGGCTTGGGAGGGAGGGTTTAGGTGTGGGAGGAGGGAAGAGGTGTCATCTATGGGTGGTATGTAGGGTGAGTAGAAAATTTCTTAATAAAAAAATGGGGAAAAAAGAATCCTTTCTAATTGTTATTATGGTCAGCCAAGACATTACAGCCAAGAGTCCTCCCAGATATGGGGCTATAAACCTCCTCTGTGCCATGTCCAGGCTACAAAGTGATGGTCTGTGGAAGTAGGAATGTTCCCTCCCCAACCCCTCATGAGAGAAGACTAACCTCCGTTTAAGGAGGATCTCACACTCATTTCAGCAGGAATCTTTCCTAGTACAAGCTACTGAGGCAGTCTACCTTTCGTCAACATACCAGACATCCCTCTCTATAGGCCCTTTGTACCCATTGATCACTCTGCATTCAGTACTGCCTCAGATATAACCATTGCTAAGTATTCCTCCCTGCAAGTACTTATTTAGTTGTTTACTCCTAAGACTGCCCTAGCAGCTTTAACCAACATCACTCTATCGCTGTCCCCCAGACACCCCCTCTGGAGTCTCTGGCCCTTTGGCTCTCCTCATATTTTTCATACCATGAAGGATGTTCTTGATTACCATATACTGTCTTTGCATTACTGTTTATTTTTATTTAGAGAATTTCCCCAGCAGCAAGTATTTTTGTCGTTTTATTCAGTGTCATGTTTCAGGCTCAAAGCATAAGCAGAGTGTTGGATGAATCATAAAAAAAAAATTAAACAAAGTGACTTACATTGTGGCAGTGTCCTTGAGTGAAAAAACACCCACCCTGTTTGTGCCTCTCTTTGTGTTTAAATCGTTGTTTGAAAAGTGCATCCTCAGTGCAGTCCTGAAGTTTTATTTTGATGTTTCGTTCATTAGTACGAATAAAGAGACTGCTGTGCTTTTACGATTCCTTTATTTCTTATTTGATATTAGTTTAAAACTTATCATCTCTTAGCCGGGCGGTGGTGGCGCACGCCTTTAATCCCAGCACTCGGGAGGCAGAGCCAGGCGGATCTCTGTGAGTTCGAGGCCAGCCTGGGCTACCAAGTGAGTCCCAGGAAAGGCGCAAAGCTGCACAGAGAAACCCTGTCTCGAAAAACCAAAAAAAAAAAAAAAAACTTATCATCTCTAATGCTTTTTAGCATTAAGGGGCAAGTTTTATGCATTTCCTTTCCTAGCAGAATATCAAGAAATTAATTTCGGTAGATCACACTAGGCTTGGCCTGTCCTATAAGGAAGAGGACGATGAATGGGAGTGAGGATGACTTTTCTCCTGGACTGTGAGTTTCTACCATATAGTCCACCTGCTCTTTCCTTTTCCTACTCTTAGGGACTGGCTTATGAAATTCCTCCTTAAGGCCAAGAGGATAGAATATGCAGTCTTACAGCCTTTGTGTTAAACAAATTGCAATACAGAAAGTCAATGTTCACAGACTAGAGAGATAGGTCAGAGGTTAAGAGCACTGACTGCCCTTCCAGAGGATCTACATGGGTTCCATTTCCAGCATTCACAGGGAAGCTCACAAATGTCTGTATCTCTAGTTTCAGTGAATGTGATGCTCCCTTCTGGCCTCATTGTGCACTGAATTGTGGTTGATATATTGTGCACCCCAATAACTGGCCTTGGGTTTGATTTTATTAATAAGAACTTTTAAGATTCATGCTATACTTCATGTGACAAACGGACATGCTTGCATGGGAAACACCCAAAACATATCATGAATAAGATATAAAAAAAATTTAAGGATTTTAGTTGGAAGAAATAGAGAAATATTCCCAGAATTTTCAATTTTGCTTTTTGTTATTTCATATCATGTTATAGGCAGTTTTATAAATCAAGGAGTCATTTAGATATTTCATAACTCCTGTAAATACACCTCTGCTATTAGATAACTTGATTGATTTCAATATTTGGTGATAAATTTATGAGAAATAATGTGATTCTACATAAATTTCTGGTATTGAAAAGAAGTACAGAACTGTCATTCCTCCCTCCACCACTGAGACTGGCCTTTTCGAAGGTCCTCGACTGTGTTGCTAAATTCCCTCCAGAAATGCTGCATCAGATGACACAAGATACAACAGCAGGCTCCTTTGTTAATACTATATAAGCTCTCAAAGTTTGGGAAATTTGGGGGGCTACAAGGTAATTTTCATTTTATTGTTTCAATTTATATTCTTTAGATACTTAGTAAAGCTCTTTTCTCTCTAATGTTAGAAGACATTTTGCTAACTTTTCATGCTTATCTTGCATTGTTTTTAATATATGAAACTTGAAACCCTCTTAGTCACACCTTCCCATCTTTGTTTTCTCAGTACTTTACCTTTTAAGTTTGCTTATAGGATGTGGATACATGTTTAATGTTTGACTAGATGGAAATTGTTCATTTGAAATCCACTTTCATTTATGAGGGAGAAAGTATATATGCATGCACGTCCATGTGCACACAGACATACTTGTCCCTCCCCACACCCCATGTGTGTTGGGGTTAAGTAAATTTCCAAAGCGGCTTACATGATTCATTTTTCCCTCATTGTGCATTTTTCACATTGTTTGTATCATGTACCTAAATCTAATACTTGGACAATTTCCATCATTTAAAATGTGTCTTAAATATTTCATGAAGTGTTTTCCTGCAGAACCATGCTGTGAGTCCATTCCGTCATGATAGTCATGTTACTAACCAGAATTGTGCCATATGATGTTTTTCCTATGCTGCAGTCCTTGCACATTCTTTGGGATACATGACACTCAGTGGACATGTTGGGTTAATAAAGTAGGATTACACATCCGGGAACTCCAAACCGAGCTCTATACCCTTTATAAACCATAAGGCTGATTATCTGTGTAGAAAATATAGTTCAGTTGGCTTAGATAGGAGTGACTGTTACTTCCCTTCTGTTTAAAAGATTTCTACTTTTTAACACCTATGTATGTAATAAACATTCACTGAATGTAGCCAGTATAGAAAACCTCACACTGATATTTTTACCCATAAAAGGAGGTTTTTAAAACCCTCAAAACACAGGTGAATAAGAAAAAATACTTTGAAGAGTCCATGGTGCATGCATGGAAGTCAGAGGACAAATTGCGACAATCAATCAGTGTGCAACTTGGGAGTCAAACTCAGATCATCAGGTTTGAAGACATCTTTACGTGCTGAGATGCCTCACCTGTCTCTCCCTATTTAATTTTTTAGGATTATTTTATCCTGTTTTAAAATTTTCTGTCTTATATAAGGAATTTATACATATTAGCAAAGATTAATGTACTGATCTTGTTCATTGCTTCAGAAATAATTGTGAAATTGCTAGATAATCTTTTCCTAGATTTTTATGAGGACCTGTTAGAGGCTAAGAATATTCTGGCTCTACTTCTCCACAAAAACAGTGTCTCTTCATTTTTTAATAGTCATATCAGCAAAGTTAGGTGAATCTTACTGTGAATCTGATTTACATTTCTTGGATGGTTGTAGCTAGAGTTTTCCTGCCTTGCCCACAGTCAGGATAAATTCTGTCACTCGCCAGTCCCACAGCCGCTCAGACCCAGCCAAGTAAACACAGAGACTTATATTGCTTACAAACTGTATGATCGTGGCAGGCTTCTTGCTCACTGTTCTTATAGCTTAAATTAATCCATTTCTATAAATCTATACCTTGCCACGTGGGTCGTGGCTTACCAGCATCTTCACATGCTGCTTGTTATGGTGGCAGCTGGCAGTGTCTCCTCCCACCTTCCTGTTCTCTCAGTTCTCCTCTCTGCTAGTCCCACCTATACTTCCTGCCTGGCCACTGGCCAATCAGTGTTTTATTTATTGACCAATCAGAGCATTTGACATACAGACCATCCCACAGCAGATGGTTGACCACATTGACCATTTTTCATGTAAATATTAGCATGTGGGTATCTGGTTTGCAGACATGTCTAATAAGGCCCTTGACCACATTTAAATTTATTTATTTTTGCCATTGAGTTGTAGGAACTCTTATTGTATTTTGGTTCTTAATCCCTTAACCAAAATTATGTGCAAATATTTCCCACTACAGCTGTTCATTCTGTACACTTTACTGTTTGCTTTTACTTCAATGATGTCACATTTGTCTGATTTTGCTTATGATGCTTAGTAAGTGTTCATTCTCACACAGGTCTATAGATATAAAACAATTCCTATGACTTTTCTACAAGAACAAAAATAAATCCTAAAATCCATGTGGAACCTCAAAAGAACCCAAATGCAAGGAAAATAATAAAGGTACAGGTGTCATATTTGTTAATTTGAAAACATATTAAAAAGCAACAAGAATAAAATTAATGTGGTACTGTCTTAAAAATAGATATACGGAAAAATCAAACAGAATAGAGACTAGAAACAGGTGTGCTCAAGTAATTAAAATGATTTTATTAATTCTTTGAGAAATTCGTGCAATATATTTGATCATAGTTACCTCCCTCAACTTCTATCATATCTATACCACCTCCCTGTCCCCTACTTTATGTCTTTTTTCCTTTTTTTGAAATAATCCATTGAGTCCAGTTTGTGGGACCATCTACTGGAGAGCTGTTGACCTACCAAAGGCAACTAACTTACAGAAAACTGACTTTCTCTCCCAGAAACCATAAGCCATCCACAGATGCTCCTCAGTTAGGGGTGGGAGCTTGTGGGGCCCCCACTCCCACCACTGTACTAAGTGTACTTTACCTTTTCATTTCCATCAGTATTTTTATCTAAATTTTAGGTAACACATATTTTTTCAAGATAATAAAATATATTTACATTGTCTCAAATACAGATCTTAGATTAATTTACCAAATGCTTACTGAGCATGTGCTTTCCACTAGACATATGCATGCATTCAGATGACACATGAAATCAAGAAACAGAGTAAGAACACACTAGTGACAATCTTTAAAATTCATGACCTGTCAAATTCAGAGTAGAAGGAAAGGACCTAA